AGGGTTTGGCCACCCCACTCTGAACTTTCTGTTTTTTTTTTTTTTTTTTTTTTTTTTGATGCGCCGCATCACATGCAGCGTATCTCATGCGCATGCGCTGTGCGCCACATGTGCCGCGTCCCCGCGCATGAGATGCGCCGCAAGTATGATTTAAAGTTTAAACCACTACTACCTTTGATGGTTAGGAAAATAGGGAGCCTCGGGTGGGCCTCCAATCTTTTAGGAGGCCAAAACAAAACGACGGCTGCCGATGAAATTTGTCAACGGCGGCCGTCGTTGGGCCCAGCCCCCGGACTTTTTAAAACTTCATCGGCGGCCGTTGTCGGGCCCAGCCCCCAACTTTTTAGGAGTTTGGGAAAACTCCCAGTTTTCCCTATTTTTAGTATTTTCCCAACCGTCAAAGGTACTAGTGGTTTAAAGAAGGAAGTTCTGAAAGCATGATGTTGAATACACGATTTCACAGTGGGCAATTGGGACATTATGGAAGACAAAAGTGGGGCCATCTCCTGCTCAACCTCATCAACGTGACAGGCCTTGCACATGATAGACACAGTACAGGGGGGAACCTAAAATCAGAAATAAAAGAAGAGGAACCGCAAAAAATAAAAAAGCCGAAGTAAGAGAAGAAAAGGAAGAATAGCACCGGAAAAGGCAAAAGAACAGTTTGAGTGTGCTTCTTGTTGCCGTGTATTCTTTTCGTTTTTGTTACACAGATTGCGCTCGTTTTTTTTGTTTTTTTAACTTTGTCAATATATAAACAGGTCCTTATGGTCCTGGCTCCATATCCATTCTGGGAAGCGTCAGTCGAGCTCCTTTTTTTGGTGGACAAACTGTCTTCTCCTCATTGGGGGACAGCTGCATATATTATTTTTCTCTCTTGATCTTTCCTCATATATATGCACCTTCTCAGCATGGGACGCTACGGGTAGTTCCTATTCCCCCGGCAACGGCGGCAAGTCAAAAAAATATCAGTGTTACATCAGATTGCGCTCTTTAGTTGGTAGCCAGGTGACAGTATGTATAGTTGCTGTACTAAAAGGCGAAGGTGGATTTTGGATGACGCTTTGTCGTGAGACCCAATTCTTTTCGTTTGTTTCACAGGTCGTGCTCTTTTAGTCGTAGACAGGTGACGATATGTATAGAATCTATAGATGTACTATAAAGGGAACGGTGGGTTTCAGATGATGCTTTATAGTGAGACCCAGAAGGTACGACATGGACCCAGCGCGGTGGGCCCCCAAGCCAGCTGGGTGTTTTCTCTTCTTTTGGGGGGATGCTGCTGGAGGCACGGGTGTTCTGCTGGGCGCCTTTTTTTGGGGAAAGGGCTGCTGCACACTTGCTTAGGCAGATGAGAGAAGGACACTGATTTGCGGCAGACGCTTCCCCATGACGTTTAGAGGGGGAGGTGGAGCAGCTGAGACACATCACATGCGTTCGTAGGTGCTGGAGGAGCGACGGGGAACTGCTGCATGCTGGTTCACACTTGTTTGTGGGGAAGAGGGGTATGCAGCGGGGCAAAATCACATGCCTTCCACTGCCAGCAAAATCGCATGCCCACAGCTCCTGGCGAGCACACATGCACACACTCCCAGTTAATATCCCTGGCTGAGTGGGTGCGCAAAGTGGGTTTTATGAGTGTGACAGAGTAGTTTCTCAGGCTTACTTCCAATCTTGTCAGGATTTGGACGAACAGTCTGCCAGGATTGCAGGGTACGTAAGTGTTAGCAAAGTCGTTAACTTTTCTGAGCGGTATTGCTAACTCTGGGCAGCGTGGTGTGTCCTTATTGTGGCATGCACGGGTACACAGGGGCCTTCAATGCCCAGCATCGCACCAGAGTGGAACCGCAGGCACCATCTTTATGCGCAGTTCCAGGGCCGAGGCCTTCTTTTGGCCTCGTGGAGGCCCAGGTAGGAGGTTCTGGTCGTTTGAGTGTGTTTTTATGTGTCTATTTACTTTCTGAGATTTTTATTTAGATTTCATCATTTCACATCATTTCAGAGTATTTTTGTCTGTTTCGGGTTTTGTCGGGTCCGGCATGGGTCGTTTGGAGTTGAAAAGTCAACAGTGCTTTTGACTTTTGTTCCATTTGTTGACATAAGACTGCTTTTACTGTCTGATTGTAATTTGGTGTGCAGAATGTAATCATATTATTTATGCATGATTGTCTTGTCCTGTCCAAACAGACACTTTTGGGCCTCTTTCGATGTTCTGGGCCTGGTTCAAGCCAAACGGCTGTTTCTTGAGCCTGATGCGGTGGGCTGGACCATTTTGTCCTCAGGTCCAGGCCCTTGTCTCTTCAGATGACATCCCTGCTGATGCTATAGGGAGCGTGGACGTCCCGTACGGTTCCAGGAAGGCCACATCTTAGGGCCAGGGAGGTAGCCCAAGCCCACGGCCTGTTTCGGGGACAGTTGATCGACACATCAATCCTACGGTCCTGACTCCAGGTTGTGTAGTAGTCTAGAAAGCCCAGTGCTGTTTAGCTGGGCCAGTTATCAGCCAGGGCACGCATTCTTCAGGGCACACTTTGGCATGATGCTGTGATAGTGGCACTAAAGGAGCAGCGTGGAGGATTGATGCTAGAGGTGGAGTAGAGGAGAGGTCTGCAGCGGGTGTGCAGTGTTTGAGCACTCACCTGGGCGCTACACTTTGGGTCTTCGGCACTGGCCGTAGCTGACCTTCCACCTGTGACACAGGACAGCTCGAGGCCTCCTCCTTCGCTGTTCAGTATCCCGCCAAGAGAGAGAGAGAGAGAGAGAGAGAGAGAGAGAGAGAGAGAGAGAGAGAGAGAGAGAGAGAGAGAGAGAGAGAGAGAGAGAGAGAGAGAGAGAGAGAGAGAGAGAGAGAGAGTTGGTTGCTATTTGGGAGACTCAAGGACTTGGACTCGACATTTGGATGGAGACTATTGTGGGACTTTGACAAGAGACTATTATCATTCGGCTGACACATCACCATCATCATCATCATCATCATCATCATCATCATCATTATCATCATCATCATCATCATCATCTTCTTCTTCTTCTTCTTCTTCTTCTTCTCCTTCTCCTTCTTCTTCTTCTTCTTCTTCTTCTTCTTCTTCTTCTTCTTCTTCTTCTTCTTCTTCTTCTTCTTCTTCTTCTCCTCCTCCTTCTCCTCCTCCTCCTGCGGTTCTTCTCCCCATTTGTGTGAGCCAAGGAGGGATCTTCTTCCGCGTATGTCCCTTCTTCGCCTATCCTGACAGTGTGAGTGATGATGTATGCGCATGCTAGAGTTTAGAGTCTGATGAGTCAGATTGGTACCTTTTCAGTCTTCCGCTGTTCGTGGTGTTTTTTTCTTCTTCTCATTGTCGTTGTCCTTTTTGTTGCTCCCTGTCATGTAACTCAGGCTGGATCGTTCCTACATAAACTGTCATGAAGTGTGCTCAGACTGGGTCTCTCCTTGTTGTTGTCCTCCCCCCCTTACCTCTTCCTCTTCTCCCTCCCCTTGTTGTTGTGTCTGTTGTTGTTGTTTGCTGTAACAGTTATGAAACTTAGGGCAATACAACCTCAACTGTCATGAAGTGAGCTCAGATCTTGTCCCTCCTCCTCCTTCCCTCACCTCTCCTCCCTCCCCATTGTCCTCTCCCTTTTGCCTCTGGTAGTTGTTATTATTATCATTCTTGTTCTTGTTTGCCTTTGGTTGTTGATATCATCATCATCATCATCATCATCATCATTGTTGTTGTTGTTGTTGTTGTTGTTGTTTGCTATGGAGTGCACTTCACTTTGAAATTCCAGGATGGAGAGGAAGAGGAGACTGCAGATAGAGACGGGAGCCTGGGTTGAGTTTCATGTCCAAGGCGGGTGGGAAACAGAAATTTAAACTGGTATCTTGCCTGTGAGGCAAGTGGATGAACATTGAACAGCGTATACTATGACACACCAGGACCTGGATAGCTGCAACCGAATCCATTTGTGTCGATATTCACTGCTGGAAGTGCTGTTGCGAGTATTATGCTCACAGCCTCTCAGATTTGCTTTGCCGAAAACTGAAAGCAGGATGGCCAGGATCATCTTTCGCAATGCATTTTTGTACGGACTGTGCTGCTGACTTACAGACTGGCATCGATCGTTTTCAGGACCGGATATATTCTTTTTCCTGTTATAGACAGCTAGGAACGCGCATAATTTTTGAGGTATGGACTCTGGAGCAACTGGCCTCTGTGAAAGCAGCAACCAGTTGGTGACGGAGGTGCCTAGAGCCTAGTAGTGGCAAATTGAGAGAAGAGGGTTCAAGCACTTGGGTGCTTGCGTGCTTGGAACCACTGGGGTCCCAAGGCAAGCATGGGACAGAGCAATGAAGAAGAGACAGAGATTGAGCTGGTCCCTAAGCATTTGGAGAGGTTGCCGGACCCTCATGAGGGTGCTATTGCTCTTGATTTGCGGATAGATGTGCACCCTTGCCAGCCGTGGGTTTTGTTCACGCCTGACGCGAGAACACTGCACATCTGGAACTATGAAAATAGGAAATTGGTAGCCTTATGGCGAATCCCGGAAGTGCATGATGCTCGGGAAGCGAAGTTTATTGTCCAAAAGGACTGGATTGTGGTGAGGCATCGCGGAGGCTTCCTTGTGTGCGAATTCCAAGCTTCGAGCTTGGTGCAGGACATGGCAACAACGGACGGCACGCCAATGGGTGAAAACCAGGCTCCAGACCTGACCCTTATCACGGTGCAAGAGTCTCTCGTTGTGAATAGACTGGTGGTACATCCGAACTTGCCGTACCTGTTGACGGGTGGTGGCGGCGTTGTTTTGTGGAATTGGGACCAGAACTGGGAGAGGACCACATTCAGGGGTCACATTCTGGCGGTAACCGATGTGGCCTTTCATCCGTCAGATCAGATCATCTTAGCAAGTGCCTCGTACGATGGCACAATCAAAGTATGGAACACAGAGAGTAACTCGGTTGTTCGTACCCTTCGAGCGGCCGACATGGAGCGGGCGTATAAGATTCAGTTTTGCACAGGACTCCAGAAAAAGCTACTTGTGTCCACAACAAACTGTTTGCAACCCTACGCTTGGGTGTGGAATTACGAAACCGGGGATTGTGTGGCCAAACTGGAAGGATCTGGCATCCTCTTTGCCTTCTTCCACCCCCACTTTCCTTACATCTTTACGGCAGCCAAGGGTGGAGAAGTCAGAGTATGGAGAGAGTCAAATTATCAGCTCGTGTCGTGTCACTGTCCGAGGTCGAGCACCGCACGCGGTCCTGTTGTCGGGATCAATCCATGCAAGGACTCCAATATGCTGATTCTTGCGCTACGGAGACAATTCCAAGTTGTCGAGGTTAGGACGAGAGCAAGACCAAGGGAAAAGGACGAACAAAGGAGGGAGGGAGGATCTCGGTCTGCAGAAGACGTCTGCACGGGTATTCCGTTCGTCGCCAGTGAGGAGCAAAGACAGGCAGCGTCGACAAAGAAGATGGAAGGTTTGGAAAACCTGGCCGTCAACGTCAAGATAGAATACGAGACGGAAACAGAGGAGGAGATGGTGCCCACCGTCGAGCTGCAATGCGAGAAGTCGAGCGATGATTTCAGAACAGAGAAACCCGTCGATGATCTCAGAGCAGCAGAGTATTTGAAGATTGAGAGCGTCCGAGCAAAGACGGCCACTCAACACCCGGAGAAGCAGGTCCAGAATGCACATGCAGATAAGGTGGCAATGGTGAAAGAACTGGAGAAGTCAGATCTGGCGATCCAGAACTTGCAGGTTGTCTTGCACAATGAAATCGTTGTACGACGCAGATCGGAAGAATTGAGAGCGCGGCTGTCAAAGAGGGTCTGGGAGCTGGAGGGGGAGAAAGAAAGATTGGTTGACGAGTGCAAGAAACTCAAGCTCAGAATTCTCGAATCAGAAGAGCAGAGATCGCTAAAACAGCTCGGCAAATCTTCTGAGGTGCGGCAGTTTTCTCTCAATGAACTCCAGGATGCCACGGACAACTTCGATCCGGAATGGAGGTGTGGTGAAGGGGACCAGAGCGGAACTATTTACCGGGGTAAACTGTGTGACGGGACCCCTGTTTTGGTGAAGAAGGTAAGGGCTGCTGGTGCTATGCCGGAGATGGACTGCGGCAAGTTTAAGACGGAGGTGGTCGACAGGTTGAGGATGCTTCATCACCCCCACTTGCTGACCCTATTGGGCGTCTGTTATGGAAACAACTGCATGTTGGTTTACAGGCATGAGGCGAACGGAAGCGTCAAGGATTGGATAGCTGGCGGAGGGGTGCACAGACAAGGAGGATATATGCCATGGTATGTCCGTTTTCGCGTGATGGTAGAGGTTGCGCGAGCCCTTTGCTTCCTGCACTCGAACCCACTGGCACCTGGTGCTCCTATCATCCACCGTGCTATAAAGCCAGCAAACATTCTTCTTGATAAGAACTTTGTGGTGAAGATCGGCGACCTCGAGCATGCACTGCTTGCGCCACACTGTGCTGAAGGGCCCCAAACGACCGGAAATTCCATCAGTGCGTTCCTGGACTGTAATTCTCAGTACATGGCTCCAGAATGTTTCCGGTGCAAAATTTTCAATGAGAAGACGGATATCTTTGCCTTCGGCATCACTATTTTGGAGATGCTGACTGGAAAATTCTGGGCTGCCCTGGAGATAATGGAAGACGCCGTGAAAGACGATGCAGCTTTTAGGAACACGCTGGACCGCAATGCAGGCTGTTGGAATGTGCAATTGGCTAGAGAAGTTGCTGAGATGGGGTTGAGTTGCGCCAGTTTAGACCGACACAATCGGCCCAACATGATGGATACCGATGTGGGCATTCTACCGGTATTGGAGGCGGTTGCGCAAAAGGCAGAGCTCAGAGAACTGGCAGACAACGCACACCTGACCTAGAATCAAGGACGAGGTTTTTCCTCCGGGAGAGGTGGGCTTGGAAGCAGCCATCCTTTGAAGAAAGTGTAAGAGCTCACTGGTCTAGATTCCGCGCGCCGGAAATGGATTTTGGGGCTCAAGTGGTTCACCGAAGCGACTGGACAACTTCTTAGGATCGCAGCCCCTGTTTATTTCGGTAATTTTTTTATTTTTTTTTGTGGGGTCCGGAGCAGAGATGAAGGGGAATAACCCTCCGGCTGGGACACTCACATCCAGGGGGGGGCTACAGATTGCTCACACATGGATATAGGAGAGTAGGAGTATGGAGAAGGAACCATGTATGGGAGAGGCATATGTGTCGAAATCTGGGTAGTCCCAACTTGCCGACAAAGTGCTTTAGTCTGTCATGTCTACCATTTTCACCACGCAAGTATGCTCACTGTCGGCATTGGTTAAGCGCAGTAGACAAGACCTCCATACATTCCTAAAAGAACACCTTCGAGGCTTCAACTGATCATACAACGTACTTTACAGGGAAGTAGTCTAGAGGTACTGAAGGAGGAACTCACTTGGAAACCAGGTGAAGTTGGGGGTGGAGGGGGGGCGGGGGGGTTGGCGCAGGGCCCTGGCAAAGAAGG